AAACGCTAAATAACACACATATTAATAACCTATTAATTCAGGTGTTGTCTAACATATACTGTACTGTACATACACATTGTGTACAATACAATGCAATCCACAGGTATGAGTACAGGTATGTCGACCATTAAATATGGTTGTAATTAGGGAAGTGGTATCAATAATAGATAAAAAATTATTGCTATTATGATAAATGTATGATTATTGTAATTAAGTTGCCTGTGAATACTTTAGGATTTCCACTTATTATGAAATTTAGTATAATTTCAAACTTTTTTTTTATCACGCATTGAATGCAAAAAAATTAATAAAAAACAAGTTTTGACAATAAATTTACACAAAAGTAAATTTAAAACGCTATCAAAAAAGCTAATAAATAGTTTAAAATTATCAAAATATAAATATTAATTAACAAATTAGATTTAATAGTAATAATTCAAAAATTATATTACAATTTTATCATTTATAGTTACAGTGTCTTAAGCCCCGTTTGACTATCTGTCCAGTTCATACGGGGGCTCATGTTATACGGCGACTCACAATATGACCAGTTTGCCTTGGGTATATACCAATCGGGACCATATTCTGTAATAGAGTAGACATAAATCAAAATTAAGACACTGTGGGGTCATTCCCTACACCACAGACGTGGACACCGGGATGTGGTCTACATATGCCAGCCCTCAGCTCATCGATACATTCATCCGCAACACAAATGACTTTAAAAGTGTGCATAGATTTGGTTCAGATAAAAATGATCTGGAAATCGTTTTCCAAACTGAACTGGGACTCAAAATTCACATCTATTTCACGTATAAAGTGGGCTCAAACTACACGCTTTACGTTCATCCCGTAAACTTTATGTATACCTACCGACAGCACTGGTATCCCAACTTTACCCTATGTTCCGCTGAATTGGTTGGACTCAAAGTACTGGTGCCCTGTAGTCCAGTGGATGTGCTTAGGAGTGGTGTGTATAGCCATTTGAATTGTATTACAAATGTGTAGAAAATGTTTTTATATATGAATTTATTGTGTGCATAGATTTTGGTCCGGAGTGGTATAAAACTGTACAGAGTTGGCTACAAATACCGTTCCTCTGAGGTACTGGAGTTTCCGTGAAGGCATGCATGCTATTCAACAATTCATAAACTGTATAATACTTTCCACCCATTTATCTTATATTAAAAATAAGTTATTGAAAAAAACATCTCAAATTCATAAACTTATTATTATTTTAATTATATGTAACTTAATTTCAGTATATTATATAAGTTCTAGTTTATATCACTGTATAATTTCATAGTTGTCTAATCATTTAATGTACATAGTTTTACTTTAAATGATTTAATATTTAAAAAAATTAAAATCCTAAATTTTCTTAATAGTTCACAAAGTACAAATATTTTACGCGTGGTATTTTTATATTTAATTTAATAGATTTTAAGCGTTAATGAATGCAAAAGGTTTGAGATAGAATTAATTACCTGGATGGCATTTGTTTTATTGCCATTCCCTTAGTTTACTACTAAATCACAAACACTCTCCCCTTCCCTTTCTAGAGGCACAAGAAGTTTACTATCGATATGTAATTAATATTATTTTATTTTTTATGCTTTATATTACAATATGATGTATTTGTTGATAGTTTATTTTAAAAGTGAACAGTGTTATGTTCAAGAATTTGCTTATTATCTGGCGCACTTACTTGTTTAGGTCATTACAATGACTTCATAATTACTCTTGTTTATTGAAATTAAAAACTTTTGTTTTATTTATACAGTTGTGTTGGAAATTGTTTTTTTGTTTTGCCTTTAATATTAATATACAAGACTTGCATAGTCTTATAAATTGTATTATGTTTATTATTAATGGAAAACTTATCAAGTATTTTATTTCAGATTTTTGGTGTTTTTAACAAACAAATTGTGTTTATTGAAGTGGTTATAAATGTTTTGATGATTTTAGTAGACCATAATATGCAGTAATTTTAGTTGTGTTTTGCAAATTACAAATATAATTTAATTTAATACAAATTGTAATGTATTTATTGAAAAGTATTATAAGTAAGTACAGTATTTGATTTAATGTATCTCACAAATACTAAAACACAACTTGATCAATGATCACTCTCAAAAAACTCGCAGTAAGATTTACTTAAAATTACTAAAAATATGAAAATATTTTCATTATTAAGATAATTTGCAACACTTACAATATTGATACAGTATAACCGTAAATATAATGTACAAAGTATTACCGGTAATGATTTTTATGATAGTTTGTGTAATTGTGCGTAAAAGTGTGTATTTATTCAAAGGGTTTATTAATGTACAATGTAATTTATTTAATGATTATATGGATATGTAAAATGTAACTCAATGCTTGCGATTTATAATAATAGACGATTTTGTTTATTTGGTTTATAAGACTAAACAAAACTTTAAAAGGGTTATCCGGTATGTATTCAAACCAACTATAAGTCAGTGTATTTTTAGACACATATTTGATAAATATTTATGTAATTTAATTTCCAAAACATCTCAATCCATAAAATAACCTCAAAATGTATTTAAAACAGAAAATTTAAATAAATAATTTTATATTACTATGCACAGTGTATTTGATATTTTATATTAGTGTGATTATTTTATTTTAGTACTTAGTGCAATTAACATTTAATTAATTTTCTAATTGTGCGTGATAAATGCTATTCGTTTATGTGTAAGTTATTTACCCTAATGATGTATAAATGATATTTAATTTATAATAAATCTTGTATGTTTACAAAGCTAGACAATACTAGTACTGTAAAAAATTGCCTAATGACTTTATTATTTATCAAAACTTATGATTCATATGCAATAAGTTAAGTAAAAAAGTTTAAAGGTTTCAAATTATCAGAATGAAAAAAGATTTTATAAATAAATAAAGTGAAATTATTTAGGAAAAATGTTAATTATTAATATAATTGAATTAATTTATACTAGTGTACTTATACTAAAACGTATTCTATTACAAAAGTGATGTATTAATTAATTTTTGATATAATTCAGACTTCACTAAAATACCAATATTTCATTTAGACTTCAAATCTATTGTAACTTACAATACATTGGTAATTAATAATTGTAAACCAATAAAATATAAGTATAATTAATTTAAAGTACAAATGGGATGTTACCATATATGAATAGTCATGAATATTTATGATGATTTGTAACAGTATAGTTTTTAACGTCATAATCTGTATATGTTTATAATGTGCAACTTTTTAAAAAATTACTTTAAACTGTAATACAGTATGTTAATTTACTTGTGTAATGTATTTTTAAGTAACTCATTGAGTGAATTAATAATTTATAATTTGTGTTAAAAACTAAAGTATCCTGTCGATTTTGTGCTACAATAACATCGTGGTCTAACTCGTGTGTGACTATAACATGCGGTTTAATACCAAGAGATTGGCGATTAAAACATTAGTTGTTTGCCTAATACTCACGTTAGGTGTCTATGAATTGTGTGATGACCTGCTTATACGAGCCCAAATAATGTCTAATCTATTGCATACGCATTACTTATTTTGTAGGTCATGTAAACGATATTATTTTCTATTATAAAACATATAAAATCTCTGATTCCTCTATACTAAAGGGGCTTCTTCACCACGAATTCAATGATACAAACATTGTGTTCAGTGAACGAGTCGTGGATTTCATGAAAAGTGTCAGCGATTTAAATCTCGAAGTGTTTCTAACTGATCCAGTTGTATTATACCAATTGATTGATGACAAGCACCGGCAGATATTAATGGACAGGGATTTAGTGCCCGACCCTCTGTTAACTAAAGATTTAAATACACGTAAAGAATATTGTCTTTCGTTTGGAGTATTTAGTGATAAATTCAACGAAATTCGGGTCAGTTTTGACTTTTTCTTTTAGTTTGGATTTTATTATTAAACCCTCTGTTAACTAAAGATTTAAATACACGTAAAGAATATTGTCTTTCGTTTGGAGTATTTAGTGATAAATTCAACGAAATTCGAGTGAGTTTTGACTTTTTCTTTTAGTTTGGATTTTATTATTAAATCTTATTTGTTTGTATTATATTTTAGCATAGATTAGGTCAAAGGTTATCTATACTGAAGTATCGGACGATTATAATTAAAGGGTTAGACGGAAGTCAGAGGCAATTGGATAGAGATGTCACACAAATAGACGAAACATTTCTTCATATGTTTTATACGAGAGATAAGGAATGCATTCAGTTATCAGTGTTTCATAAACGCAATGATTTCCTATGGATGGGAGACATATCCGCTCATCGATTCAAAAGCTATGAAAACTTGTAACATTTCTTCATATGTTTTATACGAGAGATAAGGAATGCATTCAGTTATCAGTGTTTCATAAACGCAATGATTTCCTATGGATGGGAGACATATCCGCTCATCGATTCAAAAGCTATGAAAACTTGTCGACAGATATTCATTACGGAAAACATGAGTCGGCTTTCGATTTGTTTGATTTGGAAAAATTAAAAATTAGGAGACATATAACACTTTTAATACCCGATAGAGTCGTTCACTATATATCGCAATACAAGTCATCGAAATTCATTGAATGTGACTATAGTTTAGCCAAAAATTATACGAATTCCGAGTCAATGGACAATAAAGTGAGGGAAGCGTTGATAGCATTGAAAACGTTTACATCGAAACTCTTTATACCGTTTTTCATATCGAGTGGCACTCTATTGGGTTGGTTGAGACAGTGTGGTGTCATTCCCTACACCTCAGACCTGGACACCGCAACATGGGCTACGTATGCCAGCCCTCAGCTCATCGACAAATTCATTCATAACGACGTTGTCCTCCGATTAAAGTTTATTTTTGGTTTCGTTGAAAATGGACTTCAATTTGCATTTTATAGTGAACTCGACTTTAGAGTCGACTTATTCTTCACGTATAAGGAGGGCTCGAACTATACATTTACGGGACATATACCCCGAGATAAGGCATACTTCCGGTACATATACCCTAACTTTACCCTATGTTCCGCTGAATTGCTTGGACTCAAAGTACTGGTGCCCTGTAATCCAGTCGACGTGATCAGCGCAGGTATGCGTCAATTAATTATACATTTATTGAAAATGTTATATTAAAAGGATTTTGTATTTTTGTTTTAATTTTGATTTATGTCTACTCTATTACAGAATATGGTCCCGATTGGTATATACNTAATTTTGATTTATGTCTACTCTATTACAGAATATGGTCCCGATTGGTATATACCCAAGGCAAACTGGTCATATTGTGAGTCGCCGTATAACATGAGCCCCCGTATGAACTGGACAGATAGTCAAACTGGGTTTAAGACACTGTAACTATACATGATAAAATTGTAATATAATTTTTGAATTATTACTATTAAATCTAATTTAATTTGTTAATTAATATTTATATTTTGATAATTTTAAACTATTTATTAACTTTTTTGATAGCGTTTTAAATTTACTTTTGTGTAAATTTATTGTCAAAACTTGTTTTTTATTAATTTTTTTTGCATTCAATACGTGATAAAAAAAAGTTTGAAATTATACTAAATTTCATAATAAGTGGAAATCCTAAAGTATTCACAGGCAACTTAATTACAATAATCATACATTTCTCATAATAGCAATAATTTGTTACCTATCATTGATACCATTTCCCTAATTACAACCCTATTTAGTGGTCGACATACCTGTACTCATACCTGTGGATTGCATTGTATTGTACACAATGTGTATGTACAGTACAGTATATGTTAGACAACACCTGAATTAATAGGTTATTAATATGTGTGTTATTTAGCGTTTAGTAAATATGTTTATACTGTCATTATAGCAAACTTTTCAAGATATCAATAGATTTTGTATTTTTCTAGTAAGTGAGAGACAGACTAATGTATTTTGTATTGATTTAATAAATACTAATTGTTTTTACTGTACACGACATAAGGCACATAAATTATTGTATAATAACATGTTGTATTGATTTGAAAAATGTATATTAAATTTGAATTA